GGCTGCAGCCGCTCAGCGGGCGCCCCGGCGGCCATCTTGGGTGTGGGCAGGAAGCCCGGGCAGGTTAACCCTTGGAGGGCCGCGATGGGAACAAGAGACCGAGGGAAGACGGGACCACTGGGACCAGTCGCATGGGCACACCGGGAATATAGAACAAGGGGACATGGAGACAGCAGTCTCCACCACCTCATGCCCCTGGAGCCATGTTCAGCTCTGTGGTTGTTCCCACAGAGGATATGGGGCAGCTGTGGGACACTTTGGGGAGCCCATGCTGCCACCGGCCATGCCCCATGTCCCTGCAGCCCCTTTCACCCCAGTCTTGCCTCCCTCTGGGCTGCTGGGCAGTGTGTGGCACTAAATCCCCCAAATTATTCAGCGGTGTGGGTAGAATATGATGGGGGGGAAGGTTAATTTTCTGCCTTGTCATTCAAGTTTAATGGGGTAAAGCCTGATTTTTTAGAGCTGGGTGTGCAGGGGCAGTGTCATTGGCTCAGCCCATGTGGGGTTGGGCAGAGCTGCAGCCACGGTCAGAAAATCCAGCCCTGGCTGGTGATGCCTTTGGGATTTGGAGAGAAGGAGAAGGGGCCTGTAGAGGGGAAAGCAATGGCCAGGTTGGGAGGAAAGGCACAGAGAAAATTGCCTCTTGCTGAGTATCATGTGTGGGGAGCTTTGCCTTTCACACCAGGAAAAGGATGGGCTGCATCAGCCTTGCCTTGGCCACCGAACCCTGCCTGGCCACCATTTGCAGGCACAGAGCGATTAGCCTTACCACTTTTAATTGCTTCTCACCAAACACAAACAAAATCCCTGTTCCAGAAGGAAACAGCCCTGGATCCACAGCCAGGGCAGGGAGAGACACCTGGGCAGGGAAGAAGGGATGTCCTGGCTCATAGCACGGGGAAGCTGGCCTGGTTGGCCACCCCGCATGGGTTGTTGGCTCCCTTCAGCAGGCGGATGTAGCCCTGCTCACCCCATGCCTCCGACCAGCTGCGGGAACAGATGGAGAATGAGCACATCCGTGTTCCCAGGAACCCCCTCCAACCCTGGCAGGACCTCACCGTCCTGTCCTGTCCATGACAGGCTGTGTGAGGGTGTGAAAGGGGCAGTGGTTTTCGGGGGTATCTTTCAACCTCTACCTGTTTTTTAAGATCCAGTAGCTCACGTTGCGCCCACCCTCCTGACTCGTGCCGTAGCCCACAGCCAGCATCCCATGGTTCACCCGCTGGCTACAAAACGCGCTGCTGAAGATGCCTGGGAAGAGCAGAGCTGGGTGAGCCAAGGAGCCAGACCCAATTGCTGCTTCTCCAGTTGAAAGTGCCCTGGCGAAACTCTGGGCCTCAACAAGCAGCCCACCCCCACAGCGAGGCAGCCC